GCTTCTAAGACAAAATCAGTCCAATAACTCTACTCGAAAAAAGAAAGTTTAATTGATTTCCAATTAGTCCAATAACTCTGCAAATTAATGAACTTATGGGAAGGCAAACTGGAACTGCCACTTAGCAATCAAAAAAATTTGCAGGAGGCTTATTGGTGAAGAGCCTGATTGAAACAACCTTAGTTTGCTTATTCACCCCCATAATTATGGTAGCCAAAGAGCAAATAGAAAAGCCAAAAACCTCATAACCAAGTCAAAATTAATCACTCTCTTCATTTTTCCCTATTCTGCCCTTCATCCCATCCATTCAAAAATCCCTAGAAACCATGACTGAGTGAAATTTGGAACACAGAAAGTTGTAGAGACATTATTTTCAGAAAAAATGTGTTATGCTTCACACATCTAAAACCCAGAAAGAAAATTCAATCAATGAGGAAATCAAAATACCAGAACAATATGCCCCTCCACCATTTTTGCTCTCAAAATAAAATACTAGCTACAATAAATGATGGTTAAAATTGCGACATTTAACTTGTGTAAAATGTTTCTGAACACGGCAGAAATATCCTGAATAGAAAATCTTCCATAAAAGATACACGGCATAACTCTACAAAAGAAACAATATTAATCAGTACAGAAACCGTAGAGCTCCCCATCTGTTATGGCAGAACTTTGACATAGCTTCATATGTATTGTTTCATTTTTTAAAATGTGTAGGACGCTGAGTAGTGAATGTACCTTTAGGCCTTTTCCCCTAATTTTAAGGTCCATAGCACATCCAATTTATATTTATGCTTAAAGCAACAGTTGACTTTGTACAAATAGTAATAGGAAACAAATGAAAAACAATGCCCCATCAAAATTCTGTCTTTTAGAGTAATGACAATGTAATATATCATCCAAAATATACATTATAATGATGACACTCACTGGTAGGTGAGCAATCAACACACTAGAGATTTCCTGCACCATGTAACAAGACTCAATGCTAGTGCAATATCCACTCCCTTACTGTCTTAGTCAAAAAAGTTGGAGTCAACTCAATGCTAGCGCAATATCCACTCCCTTACTGTCTCAAACTCAATGCTAGTCAATATCCCTTACTGTCTCAGTCAACTCAACCCCCACTAGCTCAATCAAAAAATTTGGAGTCAAGAACATTCTTCCAAGTTCTAACTAACCATGAAAACTTAGTGATACAGATATACCAAACACACAAGCACACTGACCAAAATATTAAATAAAAACAATATCAGGCCTAAAACAACAGTAAATAATAACAGACCACGTCTAAAATATGTCAACTAGACCTCACCCTTAGCATAGAAGAAGATCCTCTCATCTGCACAATAACCTTTTATGAATTTATCAATACATGAAGTGATTCCATGCGTAGAATGTGAAGCTTTAATAGGCATGTAGATTATTATAGGACTAGAAGGGGAATAAACAGCTACTGCAGATCCATTTTATAGTTTATAATAGTCTTGATAAGATCTCTATCTTGTTATCTCACGTATCCAGGTATCCACAAAAATGATGTAAAGAGAAGCAATATGATTTCAAATAATAAGGAAGAAGATTAACAAGAATTTTATATGACTTCTATTTGGGTTAAAATGCAACTAAACCAAATATTTTGGATATAGCATTCTTTCTCATTTGACTGTGGATAAATGACCATTTTTTTAAATTACAATCTTTAGATAGATTTCATAGATTGTTTATGAAAACTTGCTTAATACCTATATAGTGCCCAATGTTTAAAGAAGAGGTATACTCAAAAATATTGAAAATTGAAAAATCATCAGCAAGCAAAAGTTAAGCAAAAGATTATTTTAGTTCATACATCTTAAACTGAAACTAAAAAGTTATACATACCTGCTCATTCTGATCGGAACAAGAATCTTCTGCTTACATAGTTGAAGACTTCACTTAAGTTGGTGTTTCTTGACAGAATTATCATCCCACAAACTCAGACAACTTAAATTATCAAGACACAATTAGGAAACTTCCAACTGCAAAGTGGTATTGTCTACTCCCTAATAGATATTATAAGAAAACATTAACAATTACGANCTCACAGTGTGGATGGAGTAGCTCACGGTGGGTCTACTGAAGCCTCACAGTGGGTCTGCTCACGCCTCACGGTGGAGTCTGCTGGAGTGCTGGGTGCTAGCGAACAACGAACGAAACTCATGGTGTGGATGGAGTAGCTTACAGTGACTAGACAGTGGATTGAGTCAGCTGCTCTGCTCAGTAGCTCATGGTGGGAAACTGTGGGTGGAGTGGACTGTGGATGGAGTCATGGTGTGGAAGACTAGAACTGCCGGCAAACTTGAGTCTGGAACTTTGGTCTTTGGAAGTTTTGAAATTTTCAGATTTGGACTTTGGAGAATGGAGGCAGAGAACGAGAGAAAGACGAAAGTGTGAGTGGCTGAGTGCGTGACTGCGTCTGCATGAGGGTCAATGACTAAGGATAAAAAAATTTTGCTTTTATATGTAGGGTTAAACCGGTTTAAAAACCGGTTTTCGGTTAACCAGTTTGAATTTGTTTTCAAACCGAAAACCAAACCGGTTTTCTGATTTTTTGAAATCCCCAAACTGAAAACCGAACTGGTTTGTAAAAAAACCTAATTTTCGGTTCGGTTCGGTTTTAGGTTTAGGATTTTTTATCCCACCCCTACCTCCAACGGGTCTTTTAGGAGCCGACTCAAACTACTATATAACTGCCTCTACCTTTGCCTCTGTCCCGCCCAGTGGCAAACCCAGGATTTTTGTCAAGAGGGGGCCTTCATAGTTCTACCATTGTTTGTCAAACAACTAGTGAAAACTTAAAAAAAAAATCATCAAACCTTAAGTAAAGGAAATAATACAATATCAATAATCTGAAAGAAAATAATGCAATAACACAATATTTTACTACTTGAATAAATCTATGAGAAGCAAAACCTTGAGCAAATTATGTTGAAAATAACATCCAATTTACGAGGAAACACAATAAAATTTTTACTTGGAAGAACCTCTTCAATTAAAGAAAACAAAAGACCACGAGAATCTAACGATTCACTTAAATACAATATAATTAAAAGAGTTTACAATAATCATAATCCACAAAAAATGTTCTACACAAATTTCTTATTTCTCCTTTTTTTTTTTTTTTTTTTTTTTTGACTTTCAAAGATTTTAATATAAATTTTTGTGACTTTGATCAGGCCTAGCCTAAGCTTAAGTCAATCAAGTCAACGCTGCCTTGACTTTTAATATGAATTAATAAAAAAAAGGGGGGGATTTTCTTATTATAAACATAAATAACAGTTCAAACTTCTTTAATAATTTTGAACAACCAAACGGTAACGTTTGAAATATAGGAAAGTGATGGGTGAAGGGTGAAGAATAACATTCAGTAAAATATAGTTAAGGTTTAATTTGGGAAAGCAGGAACATTCTTAAAAAGGCACAAAACAAACTCACAAGATCCATGCCTTTTTCCATCAAATTAGAATAAAAAACTTTCAAAAAATAAGCATGATTCAACCGTAAAATAAACTAAAATGAAATGAGCAATACACATACCTAAAACTGATAAAACAGAAAACGAAGCTAATTGTGGCACCTTGATTAGTGAAAGCTTCAACAATTTCAGTCTTTAAAAGTTTTAAGAATGCATAACATAGAGAAAGTGAAAGAGAGAATGAGAGAATAAAGAATTTTAGGGATAAAATTATAAAAAACAGGTGGACGTAGAAAAGAGTAGAGAGAGTTTTAAACTTTTAATATGATGTGACCTGGAATATTATATTAATAGCAAGTTTTTTACTAGTCTGGATATATGTATAATATTTCTCATTTTTTTTTTTAATCTGAAGGTAGGCTTGGATATATATATATATATTAATTAATAGAATTTTTTTATGGGCCTATATAAACAATTTTTTTTTTTTTTAAAATGTGAGGCCTACCCTCCACGAGGCTAGGTTTGTCCCTAGTCCCGCCCATTCCCTTATTTCCAAATTCCCTGCAATCCCTAATGCGTTTCCTATCTATATTCCCAATCCTATTCCCAAAATATTTGTTTGTTTAATTATTTAGGAAATATTAGTAGATTTTTTAATTACTTTTAGACCCCTTAAGTTTATTAATTTTATTAAATACCCCCATAAACAAGTTTAAAAATTAACAAAAACACCCCCACCCACCCATAGTTGCCAGATTCCGGCAACCACCGTCAGTGGTAGCCGGAATCTGTCACAACGGCCTACAAACAACTGAAACTGATCGGTAATTCACCGATCTGGCATTTTCCGGCCAAATCCACTGTGGATTTGGCCGGAAAAGGCACAATCTAGTCGTCGTTGACGGTCAACAACAGCCAAATCTTGGCCATCGTTGACCGACAACGACGGCCATACCTGGACTTTTGCGGCCGTTGACAACCAGATCTGGTCGTAGATCTAGCCTTTTTCGGCCAGATCCGTGGTGGATCTGGTCGGAAAAAGCCATATCAACGCCCTACCCGCCAAATCCAACCGATCTGCGTTGTAACATCATTTCCTGGCCAAATTCTGGCGGTGGTAGCAGGAATCTGACACTATGGGTGGGTGGGGGTGTTTTTGTCATTTTATAAAATTTTTATACATTGGGGTGTTTAGTTAAATTAGCAAACCTAGAGGGTTTTATGTTAAATTTTAAATTTGACCTCGTAATACTCACCCTATTCAACTACCCAATATTATTCCTAAAATCCTATCCAAAATAACAAAACAAACAGACCCTTAATTTTTGTCCAAGATTTTCTCTAAGCTTTTTGTTGATTTCACTAACGTTTACCTCCTCTGCAATCATGTCGCTAACTCTTCCTCCTGGCTATAGGTTTGTTCCTTCGGATGCCAAATTGATTAGCTTCTATCTCTACAACAGGACATAAATTATCTTTTCCCTGTGATATCGTTCCAGAATGTGACCTCTATGGCACTCTAGAACCCTGGCAAATTTGGGAAATGTATGGACGACCCAAATTGGATAATCAAGATCTCAACTTTTTCACCCCATTAAAGAAAAAATCCAAGAAGGGTTCAAATATTTGCAGGAGGGTGGGTTCTAGAACATGGCAAGGGGAAGATGGAGCAATAGAAATAAAAGATGAAGAAACCCACATGAAAATTGGGTCTAGGAAAAGGTTCCGATATGAGAATAAAGACTCGGAACACCAGGGTTGGATAATGCATGAATATAAACTAATTGGGCATGATGAGCTTGTTGTCTGTAGAATTCGGAAGAATGAAAATGATGAAGACGCGGTTGTGAAGATGTTAGCTCCAAAAATCGTCCTTGGCCCAAATGCGAAAATGGGACCACCAGCGAAGAAAAGGCCAGGCCTAGTCCTAGAGAGGCCCAAGCCAAATTAATCCCACTTGATACGAGATAAGGCCAGCCCAAAGCATCTGGGCACGGGCCTCCCAGTTCTAGCTCACTTCATGGGCCTATAGGCGAGTTCAGAGCCCACGGCCCCCACTGATCATTTTCCTATTCCTGTTCAATCTCCTGTTTGAAGTCACTCTCCTGTTCCTGGTCACTTTCCTAGTTAAAGTGACTTTCCTGTTCAGATCACCTTCCTATTCGGACGCAGGTAAGACAGCTCACCATCGCCCTAACTTTTCTAGGGTTTGCATCAGAGTTACACTCAGACTCCTACTCCTACCAGGATCGGGAGACCAGACAGTCACTATATAAACAGAGGTCAGCCCTCTCACAAGGGACATGACATTACACCTTCACACCCGAAGTTCTTACTTGAGAGCTTCATATCACTGCCGTAGTCACAGTCTCCAACTAGAGTTCCGGTAACCCCTCTACTCCCTAGCCCTCACTATATTAGCCTCTTTTAGCCTTGCTGACTTGAGCGTCGGAGTGCCTACGGCAAACACCACCCCGGTGTTTTCTGTCGCTTCACACATGTTTCTTTTCGTGTGCAGGTATAGCAGATTGCTAGTGGCCTCAACCTCACAGGATCAATCCCTCCTTCCGTAGCAATAGATTTTTATGTCTACAGTTTGGCGCCCACCGTGGGAACTCTAGCAATCATAAGCTGGATGTCCTCGTCCAGATTCCAGTGGGAAGTGTTCCCGGCTTTATACTCGAGCATGAGCTCCCCCCGCGCCTTGATAATGGCATCGTCAACAATGGAGAGGCACTGTTCCTTTAAGGACGCAATCTCAGCAGTCTTCTCAGCTAACCCTCTCTTCAGCCTCTCTAACTCACCCTCGACTGCCTTTAGACGCTGTTGGCTCTCCTGCTCAGCCTTCTAGGCTACCGCCTCCCTCTGGCGCAGACTGGAGTTCGTCTTAGACACATCATGAATCCTCTTTTCCTGCGCCACTACGGACCTCCTCAAGTTTAGACTGCTCGTGAATGCCTGCACAACAAAACAGTCATTAGTACAAACCGTGATAAGTGAGATTAAATAAAACCACTGCCCTACTTGGAAAGCGCAAGACACCCCCTAGTCTGCAGCCATGATAGCCCCTATCTGGTTCAAATGGCTCTCATCGGCCGAAAACAGGAAAAAATCAGCCAATTTGCCCATGGAGGCTGCGTCAAAGTAAGTTGACGCAGAAGCTGGAATACGGAGGGTGATAGTCTCGGTCTCTTCATCCAAGATCGTAGTCTGGGACGACCCTGCTTTGGTAGTGGGCTGACGGCTTGGTTGGGGCGGTGTCACCAGTACATCTTCCACTCTCCTATCCTCTCTAGTCAAGGATTCCCTTCTCCTCTTCTCGCGACGCCGGGCGATGGATTCGCTCGCACTCGGGACGGTCAACTTCTTCATCAGTGACTCTGCAAGTGCAAACTCTCCAATGGTTAATGGGTTCAGCCCGGACTCACCAAAAATGATATGGTTGCAGTATCGACTCAGAAGCACATCCCAAGTCTGCATCAACGAGGGGAAGGGAGTACCTCTCTGTATCGCCTCTACTTTGGCCCAAAGAATGCTGGTCCTTAGGTTTGACTCTGCTAGCACTACTCACCAGTCCCTTTGCTCCAATGAGATGGCTAACACTTTTTGGGTCGCTACGTCCAAGCCGTCTCTGCTCTGCCCAGCCCGATTGAACTCAAGCTCTGCAAACAAAAAACACAATCAAGATTTAGTAAACAAAAGTACAAATGAAACAACTAAGTTCTCACCGATAGCTCGCCAGCTGATCGGAATCTCGCCCTGACCCCTATCTCCAAAAATAGCCTAACCCCTCAAATAGAAGTATCGATCCTTCCAGTTCTTATCACTGGACCGTAGGTCGGTCACCAAGTGAGACCGATCACGCCTTAAGTTTAATAGATACTGACCCTTCTCCTTATCATTCTCCTTCAAGAAGTACGAATACAATAGCTCGTGCAGCCCGAACCTCACTTGGTTCCGAACACAAAGGTCTTCCAAAGCCATTAGCAATCTCCAAGCATTCGGCATAAGCTGAGATGGGGCAATCATGAAGTGGTTCAATACCTCCCACACGAGGCGAGGGACGGGTAGCCTCAACCTATCGTGAAACCACTTCTCGTAAACACTGATCTAGCCCTTTGCCTCCCAGTCGACCCGCTCAAACGACCACAGCGTCCGGATATCAACCGAATTCAGAATGTGATATAAGGTCCGGATGCGCCACACATCACTATCCTTCAGCACGGGCGGATAATCCTGGGTCAGAATCTCACTGCCTTGTTGGCTCGGCTCTTCCTTAGAGCTACTACCAGAAGAAGATGGACTACTGGCCCCTTCGGAGTCTTCCCCACTCCTCTCATGCCTGCTCGAGCCACTCGGACCAACTTTACTCGTACTTGGGGCAGCTACACTAACTCCAGTCAGTACCCCAATCGGAACGCCCTTTTCGGGCATCATCACTATGGTGGGGGCACGCTCATATTCATCCCCAGCGTTTTCCACAATTTCACTCGAGCTAGCTGATTCAGTATCTGACATGGTGGCCCAATCGCCCAGCCTGACCGACCGATTCGGACCTAGCTTCAGAATTCCAAAACTGACAAAGAACCACTGGCCTTGAGAAACCGACCGAATGAGGGTACAACACCTAGCTGTCGCTTGCCCTCCCAACACCGATCGACCTACCCAACAACCCGTCAACTACTAAACCTCGGTCGACCCGCGCTACCGACCGACCAGCATAATCGAAACTTAGGAACTCCAAGATAGTTAAGTGTCAAGCGTCTGCCCGCCCCCCAACACCAGTCGATCGATCACCATCCACTACCTGTCGATTCTTCCAAGCCCAAGCTCCAATCGACCCCTACAACCGACTGAACTTTCCAACCGTCTCCACTCGTTCGCCCTAGGCGACCGACTAGCGTTCAAGCTCGACCCTATTGAGTTTACTCGCCCTTGCTCACCAATTCACCGGCTTAGACACCTACACTGCCAAAACACCCACTTAGTCTGGACGACCGACAACCTTTTTAATCAACTTCGAACGCCCCTGACCACTTGGTCGGATGGACCAAAGGACTGACCTATCGATTCAACTACAATCTAACCTGCCACTCAATCCGGTCAGGCCGACTGACCGAGCCAAATTGAGGTCGCGCTTGAACCATTTCGTCTTCTCAATTCTGTCCAAAACGCCCAGAAAAACATCAAAAATCCAGCCAACTTGCCAGAAATTTACCAGAAATCCAAAAATTCACGCCTATCCTAGAAAAATCAGAACTCCAACACTTCTAAACTCTTCAAAACAAATCAAAACCATTCAAATTTTCATAAAATTCATCTTATTTTGCGAAACTTCAACAAACATCCAAACAAAAGAAAGGCGTCGTGAAAGAAGAGGTTTACCATGAGAAAGCCGCCTCCCGTCGGCAGAATCCACCGCTGTTGAAAAAAAAAAGGAATGAAAATGAAGAAAACAAAAAAATTTACCTTAGTTTTTCTGTAGAAGGAGCGAAGAAAGTGCGAATGGGAGACGAACAGTCTACCCATTTGTTTTTAAAATGAAAGTCTAACAGACCGAGACACGTGGCAGCTTGCGATTGGATGGGAGTCAGCGCGTCCTTTCGTTTTCTAGCCTCGAAAACAAGAAGCGGACCACCACCGTACACGTGGCAAGGATCCAGGCAACCTGGGAAACTGTAGCGGAAGCCATTCCCATCATCCTGCCTTCCTGACCGAGCCACAACGCGACTGGCAAAATGGGCCTAGTTGGCCCCATGAATCACAAACCCGTGCGAACTTCCAGACCGGCCGACCAGCTTGGAACGGTTCGGCCCGAGCTCTCTGTAGGTAAAAAAAAAAGGTAGGAGGCTTCGCCCATTCGTCCTTCCAGAGCAAACGAACGGACAGTAAATGGTGAACTTCCCACATTTCTTCCAATCCATCGCCTGATCCTCCCGACCGACTCAACCCCAGACTTCCAAAGGCCGCCAAAATGTCTCATACTTCGTCGGATCGGCAGGTTGGGAGGACCGGTCGATCAGCTTGGAACGGCCCAATACGAGCCCTTTTCAGAAGAACGAGGCAGGAAACCTCGATCGTTTGCCCTTCCGTGGTGGACGAGTGGAAAGCCGATCGAGGTCCACTATCTCGTTCGATCGCCCGTGTACTATGACCGAGCGAACCCTCATCTCAATCTTCAATCGAGTCGACCCGGCATGACGAGCGAACACTCCGACTATAATATTGTAGCTCACCTCTGTAGTCGGCCGGACGTACCAAACGAACTCATGAGTCTGGGGCCTGGTTCCCTTTCCCTCCGGCCCTTCGTACCGATCAAGCACACTATGCAATGATGACATACTCTGGGTCAGGAATGGATGCCGAACGATGTCCAACCAAGTTTCACCTGCAACAGTGATCGTCCACGCCAACGATTGCTCGTCCACGAAGGAAGACCGAGCTCGCCTCGAGCGCTACCTATTCTCCGACTTAAGAAACTCTTAACTCAGAGAGTGGGGGACAAACTGTTAGGGCCAAAAATCATCCTTGGCCCAAATAGGAAAACAGGACCACCAGCGAAGAAAAGGCCAGGCCTAGTCCTAGAGAGGCCCAAGCCAGATTAATCCCATTTGATACGAGATAAGGCCGGCCCAAAGCATCTGGGCACGGGCCTCCCAGTTCTAGCTCACTTCATGGGCCTATAGGCGAGTTCAGAGCCCACGGCCCCCACTGATCATTTTCCTGTTCCTGTTCAATCTCCTATTTAAAGTCACTCTCCTGTTCCTGGTCACTTTCCTACTTAAAGTGACTTTCCTATTCAGATCACCTTCCTATTCAGACGCAGGTAAGACAGCTCACCACCACCCTAACTTTTCTAGGGTTTGCATCTGAGTTACACTCGAACTCCTACTCCTACCAGGATCGGGAGACCAGACAGTCACTATATAAACAGAGGCTAGCCCTCTCACA